AAGAACGGACTTGAGTGTATTTTGATGCAGTCCGGGAGAGTAGTAGCTTATGGTTCTTGGCAGTTGAAGAGCCACAAGCAAAATTATCCCACGCACGACATGAATTTGGTGGCCATTGTCATTGCCTTGAAGACTTGGCACCACTATTTATATGATGAGTGGTTCGATGTATTTTCAAACCACAAGAGTCTGAAATACATCTTTACTCAATGCAACTTCAACATGAGGCAGCGCAGGTGGATGGAGTACTTAGAGGACTATGACTTCACTTTGTATTACCATCTCGGTAAAGCAAATATGGTGGCTGATGCACTCAGCCAGAACTCACGGGGAGTCTTGGCTAGTATGGCTTTCTGGGAGTGGTAGATGCTCAAGACTGTAGGTTAGTTCGAGCTACATTACATGAGTCAAGCTCAGGGCATTATGGGGAGCTTGATGGCGACGTTTTCCCTACAGAGCAGGGTGATCAAGTCCCAAGAGCAGGACATAGAGATATTTTCCTTGAGGGACCGAGTACATTCGGGTATAGGTGACAAAGGTTGGGCCATTCACACGAATGGTAGTTTTTGGTTCAGGGGAAGAGTTGTGGTTCCCTAGTTTGCAGATCTGAGAAAGGAGATCCTTTGGGAGTTTCATTGCTCTCGTTTTATTGTACATCTAGGGGGTACAAAGATGTAGCATAATCTTCATTGCCAGTACTAATGGAGTGAGATGAAAAGGCATGTTGGGGACTTTGTTAGTCGATGTCTCATGTGTCAGCAGATCAAGGCTGAGCACCAGAGACCAACAGGGTTGCTTCAGCCTTTTGGAGGTGGCTGAGTGAAAGGTGGAACACATCACGATGAATTTTGTGATCCACTTGCCATGTATATCTCGAGGAAAGGATGTAGTGTGAGTGATAGTGGACCAACTTACAAAGTCGACACACTTTTTTGGCAGTGTGGATGACTTCACACTAGAGAAATTCTGCAGATTGTATATACGGGAGATAGTCCGATTTTCATGGAGTGCCTATGTCTATAGTATTAGATCGGAATCCTAGGTTCACGACTCATTTTTGGGAGAGTTTTCAGCAGGCCATGAGAACGTAGTTGATGATGAGCACAACTTTTTATTCCTAAATGAACGGTCAGTCAAAGAGGACCATCCAGATTTTAGAGGACATGCTACGGGCATGCGTCCTTTATCTCAAGGGTAGTTAGGAAAAATACTTACCCTTATTGGAGTTCACCTATAGCAACAGTTATTAGGTGACCATATAGATAGCACCCTATAAAGCATTATATATGAGGCATTGTCGTTCTTTAGTTTGTTGGACAGAGATTGGAAAGAGACCATCTATGGGTCCAGATTTGATTAGAAACACCTCAGAGAAGGTGGACTTTACATGGAAGCGTCTTCTCATGGCTCAGAGCCGGTCGAAGAGCTACACTGATAAACGGCGATGACCTCTAGAGTTTGAGGTTGGTGATCATGTCTTCTTAAAAATGATGCCTAAAAGAGGTGTGGTCAGATTTGAAAAGCAAGGGAAGTTGTTACCGAGGTACATCGAGCCCTTCAAGGTACTCGAGAGGGTTAGTACAGTTGCTTACCGGTTGACGTTACCGCCAAATTTATTGGGTGTTCATGCAGTGTTTCATATCTCTATGCTCCAGAAGTACACTCCTGATCCAACACATATGATGGATTGGGGTGAGCTAGTTGTTAATACGGATGGGACCTTCAAAGAGGGACCGAGGCGTATCATGGATAGCTGAGAGCATGTTTTGCGAGGCAAGGTCATAAGGCTAGTGAAGGTGTTGTGGCAGCACAGAGGTGTGGAGGAGACGACATGGGAACGTGAGAATACTATCCGTATGAGTTATCTGTTTTTGTTCGAGTATGGAGGTATATTCTTATAGTCATTTAGTATTATATGACTATTGCATATGCATATGATTGAATGTGCGTGCGTGTAAATTTCGGGGACAAAATTCTTTTAAGGGGAGAAGAATGTAAAACTCGAGTAAATTTGAAATTTTTATGAAAAAATGGCAAAACAGTAATTTATCGTTACAGTACGGGTTGAAAACTCAAATTTTTCTAGAACTCAAATAACGAAACGGACCTTACTGTTGAATTCGTCACGCAAAATCTAGTTACTCTGTCAATTTTCATTGAATTCTGAGATAGTCAAATTTTTGCGTTTTATGAGGCGACTAGGTGTCTTGTGATCTAATAAACGAGACCAGAAACTAAATTTTAAAAAGTGGATAATAATTTAAAGTTAGTTCAAATAAAAATATTTTAAACTTGATCAGGACGAAATTAATCAATTCGGGACAAAACTGGACCCGAGAAAAGAGAACGTGTGACGCAATGAGGGCCAAATGTTTGGAGGGTATAAAAGGGGAAGAAACTCAGATTTTCTTTCCCATTTCTCAGCCTTTTATCCAATAGAAAAGAGAGAGGAAGAAGAGAGCAAAAGAGCAAGAGTTTCTCACTTTCTCACTTTGATCTACGATCTACGATCTACGACTCTATGTTGGTCGAATCGACTCAAACCAAGAACAAAAGTTGTTCTTCTCGTCGAGAGCTACAAGACCATTCCAAAAAGGATGGATTTAGGTGAAATTCCAAAGATGTATCCTTGGAAAATCAAGGGTTTGAGCATGATTGATGTTCTTGAAGGTTTCTACCAAGTGTTTTAAGCTTTAAGAGATAGGGTTCCTTTCCTAATTAGGTTTATTTTCAACCTAGGGTCGTTATTTAGAATAGGTAGGGTATTAGAGATGTAATCTCATGTATAGCACTTGTCTATGGTAGTTAAAATGATGAGATGGGTAATTCTAGCATGAATTAGTATTTAGAAATTGCTAGCTTGTCATTTTCTTAGGAATTGTGTTATGTGGACATGTTGTGTGTTTATATTATGCCTATGTGAATTAAGTGTTTTATTTACATAAATTATGTTATAACATGCTTGAAAAATGTTGTTGGGTATAAATGTTGATATCTGTTTGATGATTTATTAAAATTAAGATGGTTTATAGTGATTATATGCTCATGATAGAATTGGCCATGAAAAATGTTGAAAAGTGATTGAAATGGTTTATATGGTGCTCATAAGATATGAAACATGATATTAAAATTGTAATTGTACATTACATTGCATATGCACAGAGACATTGCATTCATGGGCATTGGCATCAGTGTGGGTGTGTGTACATATTTTTAAATCAAACGCCCTTCTTGGGGGTTGAGGCTTGGAGTCGAGAAGGTTAGACTTAGGTTCGGCTGAATTGTGTGGTTGCATGAAAAACTTGTGTCGAATATAGTAAGAAGAGTTAGATTTTCCGTCGGGTGCAAGACCCAGCTACTAGTTTATACACTTTCATCGGTGAAAGTCCAAAAATGTGTATCGGTGCTTGAAACCGGTGGTGAGATACCAAAATCTATGTACCCAACAAAGACACATGATTTTTTTTTTTTTAAATAGTCATTCAATGTGTAAAATCAATGACGAGAGTTTAGAATGTCTGGTTTCATATGCATGACATTGCATGTATTGAGGGAGCCAATGGAGGCTCGGGTTGTGGTCCAGTAGGTAGGTTCTACTGGTAGAACGTCACATTTTGCTTGTATAACATCTCCAATAGGGTTCTCTTAACGGTAGAATGTCACGTTTCCTACCAGTAGAAGAATTGCAGAAGTTTTTTTCTACCAGTAGAACATGTAATTCTTCTACCAATAGGTTTCCTCAAGTTTTTATGAAAACTGAAGTCCAGTGTACAACTTCTACCGATGGGACTTTGAACACTTCTACCGGTATGTTTTCTTTAAACTTCAAAATTTTAAAATAATTTCACTAACTCTCAGGCATTGACTCCTTGTGCTTAAAGGAGGTCTAAAAGGAAATTATGAGTATGAATGGATGAGTATGGGACCATGGATTGGTCAATGATAAAATGTACACAGGTTATCCATGTTGGTTATGATCCCGGTGAAGGGAATGTTATTAACGTGATATCAGATTGTGCGACATTCACAAGTATTTTTGCTAGTTGATGGACGATCAACGGTTGACAAAAGACCCCCGGTTTCAAGGGCATCACATTACTTATAACATTCTATTAATTTTTAGGTATATTTAAATATTTTCTCCCTAGTATTTTCTTATCCTATCCATTAGGATGATCTACAATTAAATGGCTAAAATTTTTGCACACACTTTGAATACATTAAGGACATTTTTTTGTGGATAATTCTATATGCACCAAATTTGTGCGCCAAAACTTACACCAAATCAATTGTAGCCGTTGGATCACTGATCTAATGGCTGCAAGTGATTTAGTGCAAGTTTTGATACATAAAAAAATAAATAACATTGCTCTTTTTTTATATATTGTTGATTTGTTGGGTTTCTTTTGCAATTATTTAAGCTATAAAAGATTGTGAAAACTTGATTACATAATTAAATAAGTGATCAATAATAAATAAATTATAATTTGATTGTATATATAGAAAAAATTTATTTTAATGGTATTGATAATGAAATTATCAAGTAATACTTTCAAAGCAAGAAAGTTTGTCAGATTTAATTAGCCTCATTTTTTGTCAAGGGTTCTAATTAATTTTTATTTTATTTACTTTTTATTATTTATGTTATGTGCATCAACATTTGTCCATTTTGTAATTAATGAATATTCCAGTATTAAATATAATATCAAAAATTTAAATATGTTATTTTATTTTTATTAGGGTGCCCATCCATATTAAAATTTTTGGCTCCACTCACCAAAAGAAATTCCGAATGCTCAATGAAAAAAATTTTCAGATCTTTATTAAAACACCCCCACTAACACGAGTAAATATTACTCACCTAATACACCCTACATCAATCGGCCATTTAATTACTTTAGCCTAACTAAGAAAACAAGTTTATTTTTCAACAAATAGTAATCAGATAGTAAACATAGTACTGAACATTAAAAGCTCTGGTCCAGCAAAACGAGGTGATCTCACACAGTAATAGAAAAAGGATATGGACATGGAGGCACTGTAACTTCAACAACACCTTCAAGCATTTGGCTAACCTTCCCCATAGTTGGCCTTAGAGATGGATCTTCTTGAATACACCAAATGCCAACCATCACAAACTTCTCAAGCTTCTTCACATCATCCAAAGCCTCAATATCATCCTGAACCAAATCCTCCAATGTTCCTTCCTGAAAGCAGTCCCAAACCCAATCAGTCAAAATCTCTCTCCCTCCATCACCACCCGCCTCCAATCCTTCCAAGCTTCTCCTACATGAAATTATCTCCATTAACAACACCCCAAAGCTGTACACATCAACCTTCACTGTGATCGGAGTGTTTCGAAACCATTCGGGCGCAACATAGCCTTTAGTACCTCTGATTCCAGTATTTGTTCTACTCTGATTGATCATCAAAAGCTTTGCCAATCCAAAATCAGAAATCCGAGCATTGTAATACTCATCAAGAAGTATGTTCTGAGGCTTGATATCGCAATGAATGATTTGGGTGCTACACTCTTCATGTAGGTAGGAGAGTCCTTTGGCAATCCCCAATGCAATTTGGGTCCTTTTGTCCCAACTGGGTTTTGGGTCACCAAAAAGATAACCTGCTAGTGTGCCATTGCTGAGATACTCATAAACCAGTAAACGGTGCTGTCCTTCGTCGCAAAATCCGAGCAGTCGAACCAAGTTCTTGTGGTGAGTTTGGCCTATCACATTTACTTCTGTTTTGAATTCTTTGTAATCATCTTGAGTCACTCTATCTAACTTCTTGACTGCGATGATATTTGTCGAACCAATTGGCAATTCTCCTTTGTAAACTATGCCAAAAGCACCTCTTCCCAGTTCTTGTTTGAACCCATTCGTAGCTTCTGCGAGCTCTTTATATGTAAAACATCTCAAATTTGATCCCACAACATCGTTAATTTGGGGAATCTTTGCGATTTTCTTGTGGTAGATGAAGAAAAACCCAAGGCAAGTTGCACCAATTAATACAAAGTTGATGAATACAGAGCTCCCCAAAAGCACTGATCCCACAAGGATCAAAGCTCCATTTTTCTTCTTCTTGGGTTCTGAAACAGGAGGACTAGGACTCCGAGTCTGTGGAGGAACATCACCTTTCCTAAATTTTACAAAAGCCTTCGACTTAAGATTGGTGTCTTTTCTCCCATATGAAAGTGATAGCTTCTTCATCCAACAGCTATTGTCTCTATATATAGCAACAGCACAGAAACAATCTTTTAAGCAAGAATTTCTGCAATCTTCTTCACTGTAAGGATTGAACCGCTCAAAATCTGATGTTGGCCAATCTGTATCAATGATCTCAACAAAATCGTACAGATCTTCTGGAGAACCCAACTTATATTCATCGCAACTTTGAATGAAACTAGGTTTGCAACTTCCGTACTTATCATTCGGGTCAAGTAATGAGTACCCCCGTGGGCATTCACAAATGGGTCTTTGATATTCATTAAGTCTGAAAACACTGTTATACCCACAAGGCCCACTACCTTTATTACCTTCACCTCCAACAATATCGGCGCATATATTTTCCGGCAAAGACCAGAGAGCTTTCTAGTTCGATTCGTCGGAAAAAATTTTCCGGTGAGAATACAGGACAAAAACTCCATCAAAATTCAGAGTGGCTCTAAGATAATAATCTGAAGCTGGAAGTGCCGGCTGTGTTGGATGCAGAAAATATCTTTCGTTGCTTCTTTTCAATACGTACATACTGCCCATCTCATTAAAGATCAGTTGATAACCAGCATTTGATGAATTCGCAGCATCCCATGTGGCAGTGGCAAAGTAAGCCTTATAGAAAAAATTGGTAGCCACGTTTCTTGGATACAGCACAAGATTCCCATCTTTTTGCATTATTAAAAGGAACCTTCCCGGCGAGAAGCTAACTTCCGACTGGCGGGCAAAAAGTACTCCGTCCACCTACATGATCTGTGTAGGCAAAAGGGTATCAGTCGGATTATCGAAACTCTGCCATATATTGACAGAATCACTGCGCGCAAGAACAAAGTTGCCTGTATCGTTAAAAAAACCGTAAGAAACTTCATCAGCTATGGAGTTAGTACTCCATATAGAGCTGTTCTCACTATTACTCAGAACTAGGCCACGGTCTGAAGTGAGCTCTAGTTTTGTTCCTCTTGGCAAAGGATCAACATTCCATGGGTACCAAACTATTGTTTGATCTGGTAATTTGTGAAACCATATGGAAAGCATGAAGAGATCTTTGTTATTTTGAAGTTGTTGAAACCCAAATGCAAAATCACCGGAAGGTGAAAGCCATGGGGTGGTTCTGTCAGTGGCTGTGAGAGATGAGCCTATTGATATGTTGCCATTGTTTTGAGCAACAGTTGAAGATGTGAGGAGACAGATTAAGGGGAGGAGATGAAGAAGAGTATAATCAGCCATTGCTAGAACAATTTGGGTTTCATGAAGATAAAAAAAAATATGGGGCTTATAACTTTAAAATGATTTTTAAGTCTACTGAAAGGTTTTCAAGTCAACTTAGACTTTTCAACGAAACAAGATATGTTTTTGCTTCGTTGTAATTTTCAAAAGCCACAGATGACTTCTTTATCATAACTATTCCATGGATGAGAATACAGCTGGTCTTTAATTGGCATGGCACAACATGTAAATAATTTTGCCCCTTAAAAAGGGCTAAATTAGCGCTCTTAATCCATTGTGTTTAGCCAAAAGTTGGTGTTATAGGTGAACTATTTATAAACTATGTTTATTGAATTTAAGTCGTGTTTATATGAGTTGATATTGATTTATTTATTTAACAGGCCTAACAGGAATACCCATTTATCATCCTAACTTATTAAGATTAAACTCAAACTTATTAATTCTATGCCAAATTCAAAAGATGTTTTTAAATTGTCAGGGCTACCCAAAATTAACATAAGTTCGCTGCTAAAAAGTTTAAAGAAATTTGAACTAGAGAATAAAAATGAACAGCAAGTGTTGGTACACTTTAATATTAGATATAATATATTATACCAATATATAACGTACATACATGAAATTATATATATATAAAATAAAATAGATAGGTGTTTGAAATTTTATCTCATACATATTTTTCTCCCAAAATCATCTCATCATTCATTTCTATCACATGTTTAATCATTTAATATTTGATTAATTTGTAGTTTAACATAATTTTTATTTCAAACATTATTCATATACCATAATATATAAATATTGAAAAAAATTTGTCAAATTATGTATTTTTGTCGATATTTTAAAAAAAATAATAGATAAAAAATAAATTTTAAATGATGTAATCAAATAAATAAAGAAAAAAAATTATTATTTAATATAGTAGAATTAATTTTTTAGATGCTCAAATTTTATATTTCATCGTATCTTCAAGCACGATTTGTGACTATTTTCTTATATAATTGATAGGGCAATGATCAAATCATATAATTAATGTTAGGTTGATCTTAGTTTGTTGGTGAAGATTTCAAAATTAATAGCACATTTGCCAAATCATACTGTTTATGCACTCAATCAAACCAAATCGGCTTCTGCAATGATTTTATGTTCTTTATTAGTTGTTGAGAATACCCAAATTGATAGATCAACAATTAAACTATAAAATGATTGATGCTTGGTTAACGATAAGCCGATATATGGTTTTGTAATTTCATTAATTCACCCCAATAAATCTTGTGTTAAGTTATTTTTAAATAAAATAATAAATTAAGATGAAAAATAAATGATAAAATTTTATACATATTAGTCTGTAATGTGTTAAAAAAAATAATGTATTGAAAAATGACGTTTCGATACAAAATTTTAACCCCTTAGTTACACATGAGAATTGCAAGTTAGATTTAACGATTTTATTAATCTATCATAATTGATTAATCCATCAACTTTTTCATTTTTGTTATTTTCATTCATTATCAAATATGATGTTTTATTTATCCCTCCAACTTTTTATCCTTTCAACTTTCCATCTTTTTATTTTTTTTATCGTACCAAACAAAACATTAAAGTATTGATGTGATTCCTATTTAGTCCATGGAGTTTTGATTTGTATAATTTAATCCTTAAAGTATTGATTGTGTTTTCATGAGAAACTTTCATCCATATTCATCACAAATATCAAACGGTTAGTCACATTCAGAAGGGCATTTTTCGTTTATCTCTATCATTGTCTTCACTTACTATTCTAACCATAGTTATATCATTGACCTTACCCTTAAAATATATATGGTGAAGTAGACACTAAGATTAACACCGATGAAGATGTTGAAATTGATCTAGATTATTTGGACTTGAATGATAGTGCTTATGATATTAGTGATAAATACCAACGGTCCTTTAGTCCAATTGTACTTCTTACCTTGTGAAGGTTTTGCTTTCTTAAGGTTAAGGGTTCAAATCCCTCTCCTCCCAAAAAATATATTAAAATATTATGATATGAGTGATAAAGGATTGCTATAAAAATTAAGGTGAACATGATTAACATGCTTGAATAAAGAGACAATTGGGGATACTGAGAAAGATTTTAGTAACGATCATGGGAAATCAGACATAATATGGGGTATACCACCTCACCCCTCCAATGGTGGAAGACGGGACCTTATGATACTATAAAAAAATCAAGTAAAGCTTAGTTCAAAGGTACGTACTACTTTTCCTACAACCAACTCTGATTACATTGTTAACTCATACTGACTTATGCATTGGAGTGTCTCTAACCGGCTCGCCTCGATCTTTGGAAGTTTGGCCATTTCGTAGGTGGAGCAGTGCAACCTTTCTTGTTCATTTGTTACCAATCAAATCAATAAGTTACTAAAGAGTGAATGAGGAACTACTCACTCATCATGGCTTTGGTCATGCTAGACAAGTGAGTGATACTCATCCCTCCAAGTGGAGGAGCTACTTAGTGAGAGTACAATAAACGAAAAGCTAATCTTCAACAAAGAATAAGTGAATCATGTCACACCCTTCACGACTTTGGTAAAGCTATAGAAAAGTGAAAGAGTTTCACTCTTCTAAAAAAGAAGGAAGCTCAAGGATTGGAAGTGAAAGACATAAATAATAAAAGTAGAAGAAAGCTAGTTACTTTCGAAGGGTTTCCACCACAACCAAAAGTTAAGCTATCTCTCTTGATACTTGTATATAAAAGCAAGTACAACTATAAGGGGAGTCTTGGCCTCTATCATGGTTGTCACAATATGAATGTAAAGATTTAGTATGAGTAAATAAAAAACTTCAACTACAAGAGGAGTCTAAGCCTCCATCATGGTTGATATAAATGAAAACATAGATATAGATAAGAAATGTTCAAGAACTAGATTACCTAAAAATTTCTACTTTACAAGAGAAAAGATTGCTCTCTCATTTACTCTACAAGAGGAAGAATGCCCTTTAAGCTTACAACATGGGAGTATTTATAGGCAAGGAAAGGTAAAGGGGGGTATGAGATAAGAGATGATGAGTGAATAGTATTTACCGCCCATGGGAATCAACTATTCTATAGGTAGTCTGCAGAGGACGTTCGAACGTTATCTAGCGTTCGAACGTTAAGTCTGCCTTTTCTTCAATGACGTTCGAACATTTTCTGTGTCTTTGCTTTGAGGGCGTTCGAACGCCAGATGACGTCTGATTCCTTCCACCCAAGTGGCCTGTGATCACTGACTTGGTCACTTCCATACGTCTTGAACAACCTTGACTTTACACTTAGCAACTTGGTCCTCAGTCACTCAAGACAACGTTCGAACGTGGATTAATGTTCGAATATTGTACTCAAGTACTTCTATTATGTGGTTCTTGCAACATGTCAGGTTCTAGTGGTGTAGTCTTCTCAGGATTCCAGAGGACGTTCGAATGTGAGTTGACGTTCGAACATGGTACTCAAGTACCTCAACATTTTTCTTTTGTTGACTGCAACACACCATGTCTCAGCAGCTGGTCTTGGCAGGATTTCAGAGGACGTTTGAACGTGGGTTGACTTTCGAACGTTCTTGCTTTGTTCCAACCTTTTGCAATTTTGTTCTCTATTGTGCTGGTGTTACATTTAAGTGTGATTTTTGTTGTTCTTGAGCCTTTGTTCACTTTAGGACCTGAAATGTCATAACTTAAACTCCATCAAAGCACAATTAGTCCAAAAAGGCATAGTAAAATTTGTTAACTTTACGCACGAATCAGGGGACAGGACGTTGTATGGGTGATAGTAGACCGGCTTACGAAGTCGGCACACTTTTTGGCTGTGCGAATGACCTTTACACTAGAGGAATTCTGTAAGTTGTATATACAGGAGATTGTCCGGTTACATGGGATACTAGTATCTATAGTATCAGATCAGGATCCTAGGTTCACGGCTCATTTTTGGGAGAGTTTTCAGCGAGTTATGGGGACACAGTTGATGATGAGCACTTCTTTTCATCCCTAGACGAACAGCCAGTCTGAGAGAACTATACAGACGTTAGAGGACATGCTACAGACATGCATCCTAGATCTCAGGGGTAGATGGGAAGATCACTTACCCTTGGTAGAGTTCGCCTACAACAATAGTTATCAGACGAGCATACAGATAGCACCCTATAAGGCATTATATGGAAGGCATTTTCAATCTCCAGTATGTTGGACGGAGGTGGGAGAGAGACCTTCTACGGGTCCAGATTTGATTAGAGACACCTCGGAGAAGGTAGATTTGATACGGAACATCTTCTTACGGCTCAAAGCCGACAAAAGAGTTACGCTGACAAACGACGGCGACCTCTAAAGTTTGAGGTGAGAGATCATGTCTTCTTAAAGGTGATGCCTAAAAGAAAAGTGGTCAGGTTTAGCAAGCAGAAAAACCTGTCACCGAGGTACATCGAGCCTTTCGAGGTACTCGAAAGGGTGGGTACAATTGCTTACCGGTTGGCGTTACCGTTAAATCTATTGGGCGTTCATGCAATATTCCATGTCTCTATGCTCCGAAAATACACCCCGAATTCGACTCATGTGGTGGATTGGGGAGAGCTTGTGGTTGATGCTGATGGGACCTTTGAGGAGGGACCGGTGTGAATCATGGATAGCTGGGATCAAGTTTTGCGAGGCAAGACTATGAGGCTAGTGAAGGTGTTGTGGCAACACCAAGGAGTGGAGGAGGCGACATGGGAACGCAAGGACATTATCCGTACCAGTTATCCTTTCTTATTCGAGGATGGAGGTGCATTACTATAGTCATTTAGTATTATATGACTGTTACATATGGATATGATTGAATGTGTATGTATGTGTGAATTTCAGGGACAAAATTCTTTTAAGGGGGGAGAATGTGAAACCCAGGGAAATTTGAACTTTTTCTGACAAAGGGCAAAATAGTAATTTATCACTATTATACGGGATTAAAATGCATATTTTTATTGAGTTCGAATGAAGCAATGGACTTCACCGTT